ATTTTAACCCAGGTGTCGTCAACATACCTGAACCAATGACTTGGTGGTGTCCCTGAAAAGGACGTCAAGGCTCTCTTTTCTACCTCTTCCATGTACAGGTTGGCAACAATAGGAGAAACTGGAGACCCCATAGCACACCCATGTTTCTGCCTATAATATTGCTCCCCATAAGTGAAGTGGGTTGACTGCAGGCACAGTTTCAAGAGTTGACACAGTTGTTCTGTGGAAAGCGTGGTCCTGCTGCTCAGAGTGGTGTCTGATTTTAATTTTAAACTGACCACCTCTACTGCATCATCAACAGGAATGCACGTAAAGAGTGATGTGACATCAAAAGAGACCATTGTTTCATCAGTCTCCATGATGACATCCCTCACCTTGTCCACAAAGTCCATGGTGTTCTGTATGTGGTGTTCTGAGCTGCCAACTAAAGGGATGAGTACAGACGCCAGATATTTGGAAACATTGTAAGTGACAGAGTTAATCATGCTAACAATTGGTCTTAAAGGTACACCTTGTTTGTGGATTTTAGGTAAACCATACAGACTAGGTGTGGCCTCCCCTGGGTACAGTCTGTGGTACAGAAAACGGTCAATAGCCTTGTCCTGCTCCAAATTTTTCAGGCAATCTATCAACTTCTTCTTGTAACCACTTCCTGGATCTCTTTTCAGAGGTTCATAAAAGTTTAAGTCACTAAGGAGTGTCAGAACTTTCTCATGATAGTCTTTCTGGTTCAAAATCACTGTGCACCTTCCTTTGTCTGCTGGGAGAATGATGATGTTTTTGTCCTTGCTAAGAGTGGTGAGTGCGTTCCTCTCCTCTCTACTGATGTTGGAAGGTGGTGGTTTGGCATTGCTGAGGCAGGCTGAAACTTTGATTCTGAGCTGTTCTGCTTCAGCCTCTTTAATTTTGTTGTTGTGGATGGCTGACTCAGTAGCTGTGATCATCTCCACCAGAGGAATTCTACTTGGTGCAACCGCAAAGTTCAGTTCAGTGTCATGAGGGCTGTGATCAGTCTTACATCGGGGAAACAAAACAGCCACTGGCCAAAAGGATGGCCCAGCACAGAAGATCAACATCACCAGGCCAGGACTCTGCGGTCTACACTCATCTCCAGGCCAACAGTCACTCTTTCAGGGATGAAGATGTGCACATCCTGGATAGAGAGGAACGATGGTTTGAGAGAGGAGTAAAGGAGGCCATCTTTGTGAAAAGAAATCGTCCATCGTTAAACAGGGGTGGAGGCCTCCGTGTTCAACTGTCCCCCTCTTACAATGCTGTGATTGCTAGTATCACTCAGCCCTCTGTGAATAGTAAACAGCCATCAGTGTGCTAATGATCCATTGTTAGGCTGATGGTCCTTCTTGAGCATGTGATCAGCTGGTTTTGGTTGTCAGCAGCAAACTGGTTGATCCACTCTAAGAAGGTGCTATTTAAGAGACTGAGCTGAAAACAGCTCCTCAGACTGAGGAAGTCTCTTGGATGAGAGACAAAACGTTTCTACATTTTTTTGTTGTTTTGCGTTGTTTTGTTTTTTTTGAATGTCCAGAGGACCAGATTTAACTTTTTTAGATGTTAAAAGCAATGTTGCTCAAAAATAAATTAAGAGACTTATTTTAATATGTTCTTTGCATTCCCTGCTAATTATATCACATTAAGTTTGAACGTTTATTCACTATAGCTGCTATGAAAATGACCCATTGTAGCTGACCAAACATGTACGTTTAAGGAGGAGAATAAAACAAAGAAATTTGGAGATTTACTGCACATGTTTCTGTCTGAATTCATTTAATTTGTTACAGCGATTCACTTTGAGAGATATTTTTTAAACCTTTTAAATCTAAATACACATGGTCACACAGTACAATGTCCTGTACAGTTTTAGTAAGTCATAATACAGGAAGAAGAACTTAAAATCAAATTCAATTCATTTCAAACTTTATTTATACAGGTTAGTCTCATTGAGCCTCGATGACTCATTTACAAGAGAGACCTGTTTAAACAAAGAGTGATGACAACAGTAGACCATGATAAAAATAAAGCATTTAAAATGAAAAGTTAATGAAGGCCATGATATATATTAAAAAAAAAGCAGTGTTATATGTAGAAAATGATTGTCCACCAAGGATTG